CGTTGTGCCTTAATAAAGAACAAAAGGTACCCGCAGACTGATGGTGCGCTGTGGTGAGGAGGGCTTACTTCAGCATTAAATCATTCCCGTGCCAGTTAGTTGCTGCCACAGCTCACCTTCATCTACGTGGATTTTTAATGAGCTTTAAAGGTATAATAGGCTTTTACTTTTTATAGATATGCTCTCAGAGTTCGTTACTGGCATTACTGTAATTTTAAGGAAATTTTAAGAAGCAATGATTGCTTTTTGCGGGTGGGAGGATTGCTTTTATATGACCTTATTTTACTACAGCCAGATGTGTGTTGACTGTGTAGGTGATGTGTTTCATTGTGGTTTTTTCTTTTTTTCCCCTCAGTGGTGATATTCATTGCAATACTGCGTATGTAGTAAAACCTGATATTCTTAGAACGTGTAATTTCTTCTTTACAGATCAGTGCACCTTTCATATCTCTAATTATATTAAGCCAAAAAATATGGTGTTCTGTGAATGTAAAAGATGGAAAAATGATTGTTCTGTCAGCTCAGACCAAGCAAATAGCACAGCGTGCATTTTATCGGTTTGGTTAGCTGGGAGGGTGGTAACACAGTGTAGGCAGTTTCTATAAAACACACGTAACATGTGCCTTTTCTGGTAGGGGTTTAAACATCTCTAGGCAAGGATGAGAAAAGTCTCCTCCTCTGAAGGAACTAATGAATATTTTAACTTAAGTTACTGTTCCCTCTGCAAGATAATTGCTTAATTGGGTAGTTGTCTGTGTGTTTGAGAACAGTAACTTCCTCCTTCAAGGTGTAGAACCTCTTCTGCTATAAGACCTTGTTGTTAAATAAGAGAAGGGACTTATGACTGGGTTGCAGAATGTGTAGGAATATTTCCTGGGCAGTGCCCTGCGTGTGTGTGTGTGTTCACTGCTGTATCTCCCCATTAATGACACGTGTAGTTTGGAATATATTGCTGCTTGTAAAGTCTCTGGCCTTGACCCTGTTAATTAAATCTCAGATAAATATGGTAACTAGATGACACATCTGCAGGTAGAGAATTAAGAAAAAATTACATAGCAGTGCAAACCATCTCTCTCTTTAATATCTCTATGTTTTGTACTCATCTTGCTATTCCAAGCCGTTCTTTGGCTTAATTCTGTGATATGATTTCTGAGTTATAGGGCAGTGATGTGAAGCCAATACCAGGCATTAAATGTTGTTGCTTGAAGAAATGAGATGTCATATTTTACTGTCTGTGACATTTCTTAAGTAGCCAAGTGTGGTAGAAGGCCTTGTTTCCCTTTGTCTAAATAACTGCTTCTTTTGAATGAACATTTATCAGCAAACGTTTAAATGTCGTAGAATCTGGCATTTCCACTGGACTTGCCAAGAGACACATCTCCCTTTCTCTGAGGCAGCACAAATCAAATTAGCCAAGACTGAGTTTGTCCTTCTAATTGTAGGATTTCTGTCAAATCTTTTTAATATTGAGATACAGTTGACCCACTTGTGTTTGACAAGTGCTAGACACCAGAAAAAAAGCACAAGTTTGATCTATTGTTTAGCTTATCAGCTTTGGTTTTGTTAAACAATTAACCGACAGTTCATTTTTGCATCTGAAATGTTTTGCAGTACACTTTATTGTGATTAAAAAATTCCTATCACAGTCTTCATCATATTTGAGACTTAGAAGTGTCCTTAAGAACTTGTGCATTAAGATCTTTAATAAAAAAAAGAACAAAAAAGCAGGGTTTTCTTTGACTATTAGGTTTAATAAGTGTTAATATGACATAGTTAATAATTCAATGCCATTAAATTCATCGGAAATTGGCACATTAAATGCATGTAAGGGAGTTGGTCAAGGGATGTGAGGTTTGGAAAGACACAGATCAGTCATACATGTTGGAGCATCACTGCACGCACAGTCTGAGCTCTTAGGACCTCAGGATTGTTTTGCTTTTAGCTGAGCTGCTACAGCTGTAGGATGCTCTGCTGCACTCCCTTTTATACAAAACAACAGTGAAACAAGGCTGCGGGGGAGGAAAATTGTTGTTGCTGTTGGATTCTGGCTTTTTTAACTAGAATTTTTTGCATCTCATCATTTCAGTAGCATTTGGATTCAGAGGCGTAATGCTGTGTGCTCCTGTCTTCTGCACTGTTACTGTTGGGAAATGGAAATCTATTTTTTAAAAGAAAAGTCTTTCCAAAATCATTGCACACAAACTTCAAGTGATTTGTTGGCAGAGTGTATTCCGGTTGATATTAGAAAATATTATGATTCACTCATATATATGATTTGCAGGGAGGGAGCAATTCCCAGCCGACTGGCATCCTTTCTCTTGTCAGGAAGACTTTTGTATTAGCACAAAAGATAAGGCCAAAAGCAATGAGAACTAGGGATCGAGTCTCCTTTAATCTTTGTCTTAATATTAATGGGTGTGAAGTGAGCATTTTTCACTTGAGTAACTGCTAGTTACATATGACAGTAATATGCAGGTAATTACTCTTTCAGAGCTTGCATTGTATAAGACTCTGTTTTTACATGGGAGACCCTTGTCTCAGTGATTCTCCCCAGGATTTCAGTCTGCGTTTATGAACCCAATTTTGCATCTTCTCAGCACCATTTTAGGCAGAGTATCAGTTTTTAAAAATACTCTGGCAATTTCTGAACCCGTAGGAGAAAGATATAATGAAAGTTGAGCATGGCTAAACTAGCCAATAATATTTGTCAGTTAACTGTGAGAGAGTGAAAATAGTTTTCTACATTTTTTCAGTCAATTTTTTATTCAACCAAAAGCTTTTTAAAAAGTGTGGCTCTATATGGCTGTAACTGAAGGAGATGAGAGGAAAAAATATTTTTGCACAAAAATAACCTTTGAATTTACTAACAGCTGAAGGCGGGATGTAGCATTTCCCCCACCCCTGTATTTTCATTAGAATTTTTGTTAACAGGAAATGGAAAAGTACACATTAGAAGTGCAAAATGATTGAAAGGAAGTGTCCTTCTGAGTACATTCTAGGTTTTTTATGACTTATTTCAGCTGTTTTCCTGCTCTTTTCCTGCTGGCTTGATTCTAGCTGTTCAAATACTGGTTTATACCAGACATTTCTGGTATTGGTTCCTACTGGCACGAGCTTGAATTTTGTGCTACTGAATTTCTTATTTTTTTAAATGCCATTTCACAAGATACTTCTGGCTTCCAAGAAATTACAGGATCCGAATATTGTACACAGTCTGTTTTCCTGGTTTACTAGCCTTTTAAATAGTCATTGGCTGAGGGCAAATGATCCGTCCTCCAAGTTTTGGAAACCACTGGATTCATGCTAGTTTTTGTGTAAGTGGATCAATGCCTGGATATCTATTTAGTAGCCATAATTTGCTTACATGACATAATTATTTTTTTAATCATTACGTGATTTTAAAGCTCTCCAGCAACAGCAATGTAAAAGCTATTTTATTCTCGAAATATCATGCATAAGAAAAAAAAGATGACATAGTTTTAAGAGTATTGTTCATTTTCTGCTTAATTCAGTCAAATATGTTCAAGTACCACTGGCGTTTTTTTCTTTTTTTGAAAGTGTACATTAATTTGCACAAGGAGATGTAGATTTTTCTATAACACTGTAGAGAATCAAACTGGCAGGGCTGTTAAGTTTTTGCTGAGTATGCCATAAATAGTAATAAAATGAGGCCAATGTAGCTTTTGTTGTATGCAGGTCATTTTTTGCTGGAATATATGGTATGCTTCATGCATACAATACATCTAAATAAACAGTTATTTCAGAGAGGCCTAACTTGGGTGTCTTTACTATGTAGTGGGTTTCTTTTGATGGATTGGACTCGGCTTCTCAAGGCACGTTCATTTAAATCAAGGTCAATGGTTGTAATCTTTTGGTGCCATGTCAGTCTCAATTATAGGGGGGAGAACATAATGATATTGAACTATGATTTCATGTAGATAAATTTCAAACAAACTTAGCCTGACAATTGACCTAAATACAAATGCATATTCATAATTAAGGTATTTGAAAATCTTTGGGTATAAAGTAGTGCGATGCTGTCAAATAATAGTATGTCTGTAACCAAAATACTGGGAAACTGGTGTTATTTGAAATATTTTTAACAATGGTCCATAGACAAATTAATTTATGACAGTAAATCAATTTCACATGAAATTAACATGGAATTCTGTCCATTTTCATGTACCTACTGTCTATGAAAAGATTCCCTAATAGTTTATTTACAATGAAGGTGGGAGAAATTGAATGTAATTCAGAGCATCTTGAGACTGTTGTCCAGGCAGGCTTCCTGTCTTTGATGTACTGCACAGTCACTCTAATTATGATCTCTGCAAGACACGAGGTATTGTAAAGGAATGTTAGATCCTCTAATTAGCAGTAGACAAATACTATTTAGAAGCTGCAATACACAAAGGTCAAAACTAGACCAGAAGTGTAAATCTGGTGGGAGATGATAGATTAAAACAAATTGTCAGGATGCATTTGGTTACTTTATAATAATTTTACACATGTAAAAATAAATATGTTGCCCCATGGTCTGTAGACACGAGGTTCTCTGTTTTTAGAAACCTGAAGTGCATCTTTAAATGTGTGACCCAAGCCAGAGGTTAGAGTTGGATAAAAAGACTGTATTATCAGTGTGGTATTGCACAGCACACTGAATCTCATGTTGCCACAGATGCATTGTTCATGAAAAGGGGAAAATTGCTTTTTAATTTTAGTTTTGGTTGTTTGGGCTGTTTTAACCACTTGGGTATTTTATTTGCTGAGTTTGGTAAACATCTTTTGGTGTGTTTGTGCCCCATCTCAAGGAGTTTTTTGCTTCCTCCTTCTCTGTGGTATATAAATATATGATTACCCCTCCCTTTAGTCAGAGATAGAGACCCACCATACTGTGGCTGAATAGCTAAGTTATAAACTCTATGACTTATTTACAAATTTAAGTTATGGTCTTTAATTAAAATGTATTATGACCTCCTGTTTTCCCGTTCTGTTAATAGGATCTGTTTTTACGCTAAAAGTTCAAGTAAATGACATCATCAGTCACCAGTACCTGCGACAAGCGGTTGTAGAAGTGTTTGTTAACTACACGAAGACAAATTCTACTCTTACCGGAAACAATGGAGCAGTGTTAATAAAAGTTCCCTACAAATTAGGATTAAGCTTAACCATCGTATCGTACAAGGATGGCTACATCTTAACACCTTTGCCTTGGAAGACTGGGAGAATGCCAAGTACGTAAGCATCTTACAGTCCTATTATTAAACTGTATCTGGCGGTAATTAAATTTCTCTCTTCCTCAGCAGTCTGGGTAGTTACTGTCAACTGAAAATGACTGAATCAAGTCAGTCCAGGGAGGTAGTGCCTGTCAATGCAGATGTAAGGGTGAATGATGTGTCAGACTTTTCAAAATTCTTATTATTGTGAAATAGGGAATAGCCCTTTATAACTAACCTTATATTGCGATACCATGAGTGTATTCTAAGAAATTGTTTACCTAGATTTAGCAAAGGGCTGGTAATGTGTTTTGACAAAAATTATGTTGCTTTCAGTGATTCCTGGAGTGCCAGTGCTTTAAGTCCTGTATAACAGGTATAACCTGTTGTTGCAGCTTCCTTTCGGCAGTTTTTCCTCACAAGTTTTCCTATTTAACTATTGCATGGTCTTAAAAAAGCTAAATGGTTGGGGTTTTTTTAATAAAAAGGTAGGGACTCTTAAGAATTCTAGCCACTTGTTTATTGTTATAGAAGTCATAAGACAGTAGCAAACGTACTACAGAGGTTTTCCTACCTAACCACTAAAATTCCTGCTCCTCAAATTATGGGAGAAATTTGTTTATCCAGTCTTCATATACTCTATTTTTTAACTGCACTCTTCGCTATTCCTTCAGAATTGGAGATCTTAGAGGATTCTTTTTGGTTGCATAATGTAACATATTATCGCTTTCCACAGTATACTCCTCTGTGACGCTTTCGTTATTCCCACAAAGTCAAGCTAATATATGGCTGTTTGAAGATACTGTCTTAATTACTGGAAAACTCTCTGGTAAGTTCAGTGGATGCAGACCATAATCTAAACACTTGGTGATAACCATCTGTACACATACAAAAAAAAAGTCATGTTCATATTCTTGTATAATACCTATCTACTTTAAACCAGATTATTAAGTTCATTGTGTAGGTGTATGTGTGGCTGTGTGTGGTGAGCTGACCCGTGCTGGACACCAGGCATCCACCAAAGCCACTTGGTCACTCCCCATCCTGACCTGGACAGGGGAGAGAAAATACAACAAATGGCTTGTGGCTCAAGATAAGGATGGGGGAGGTATCATTCAACTGTCATGGGCAAAACAGACTCAAAGACTCAACTTGGGGAAATTAGTTCAATTAATTGGCAGACAAATCAGAGTAGGGTAATAAGAAATAAAACCAAATCTTAAAACACCTTTCCCCTACCCGTCCCTTCTTCCTGGGTTTAACTTTACTCCTAATTTCTCTACCTCTTCCCTCCAGCAGTGCAGGGGAATGGGCTTGCAGTCCCCCTCCTTCTTGGTGTCTGCAGAGTTGTTTCTCTCACATATTCTGAGTCCTCCCTCTGTCTGCAATTGTGCATTTCCCCTCCCACTCCCTTAAGTATGTTATCACAGAGTCACTGCCACCATGGCTGATGGGCTCAGCCTTGGCCCGTGACAGGTCTGTCTTGGAGCTGGCTGGCTTTGGCTCTATTGGATGTAGGGGAAGCTTCTAGCAGCTTCTCACAGAAGCAACTCCTGTAGCTCCTCTGCTACCAAAATCTTGCCATGCAGTCCCAATGCCCTGTGACAAGTGCTAAACTAGAAATACACAAACCGTGGAGAAAATAGGTGAAAACAGGTTGTTCCGCTAAATGGATTTCTGTTTTACCACTGCTAAGACAAAATATTACTCTTTTACAGATGCCAAATCTCAACCAAGTGTTCAGTTTCCAAAATATTTAATAAAGCTTCCAACAAATCACCATATTACAAATGTTACAGCCTATCTGACAGTGCCAGAGCAATTTTTGAAAGTGGACAGCTTTCTCTATACAACAGGAATTCTTCTGAATAAATCAGGTAAGTAAATATGTTGTTAAAGGATTTTTTTAAAAGAAGAAATCTTCAAATTATAATGCATGTGAGTGCACACTGTTTCAGAAAAACATGTACTTAGATTAAAAGTGCCTGAACCTGCTTCCATTGCACTAAATCACAAAGCTTTGTTCTACAGGAGTGAGCATCAGGTAATTGATGTTGCTCTTTATCTTGTTCCATGTGGTAAGAGAACTTAACCTATCTTACTACACTGAAATACTCCTTTAGAGTATGCTTCATATATACATACGTGTGTGTGTGTATATATATATGTTCAGGATTTCATGAGATTGTGGAACTGTTTTAGTAAACATTTTAAAAATATGGTTATGGCCAGAGTGTAAACTAGGTGAACCTAAAGAAATCAGTGAAACTACAGCAGTTGATTTCAGCTGTGGGGTTTTCTGCATTTTCAGTAAAATGCTTGGCTGTAGAAACTTAACACCTAGCATAGAAATTGTGTGAAAGCTGTAGTTTGGCTCACAGAGAGTTAATCTGCGTAAGGCTGTTTAAAACCAAGTAGTCACTATGCATACAGAGCACAATTGCAATAATGTTTTCTGTGCATCTATTCCACTGGAGAAGCAGAAAGTGGTTTCATGAGTCATTGTAACTGTGCTCATATGCAGTTGGATTTTTTAGTATTTGTCATTCTATCGGATATTTTTACTTGCATAAGCACAATAATCTCTTTTTAGATTGTACTGTGTGCAGTTGCATCTTTCTTTTGTTCTTCTCTTTTCTTTTTATTCCCAGTGGACCTGAAGCCATGAGGCTCTTAAATCCATTGCAGTGCATGAAGAGGCCACTACTTGGCTTATTTGAAACTTGTCATGCTCGTTTCTTTAATTTTCATTGAATTAAAATCATCATATATATTGATATCTTGACTTACATATTGTAAAACTTTACTTATCTATTTTTCACCTCTTTAAACGTGAAGCATAAGAGAATAAGCAGTATTTTCCCCCCTTTGAGTTTTGCTTTCAATCAGTCTGGCATGTGTTTTAAATTATTCATATACTCCTAGAGGAATAAGCTTTCTTTTAGGGCAGGTGGAAGCTAATTGATATCCGATGCACCAGGAGTTTTCTCACAACCAACTTCTAACAGCTTGCATAGATTTAACGTTATTCTGGTACTTAGTAATTCTGTTTCAGCTTCTTTCACCATCCTGTCATGTTGTGCATTCTGAAGTATTGCAAATTAGTGTAAGGGGAAAAAAAAAGAAACAAACTTTCAGGCTGCATTGTAAAGCTTTTTATATGCAATGTTGCCTTTGAGTGCTTTGATGAACCTCATGATTAACTGCTCAGTTAATTATAACTGCCAAATTAGAAAGTTAATCCTTACAGGAAAGTTTAAGAGAACTGTTCAGCTAAGGAGAAATGCAGCAGTCATATTTGCATATCTTCAGTTTAATTCTATGTTATGTATATTGCAATTATACAAAAATTCTTATATTATTTACATTGCACATGGGTTAGCTATTTTCTAAGCAAATTATCTGAGGGGAAAAACCCTTCTTCCCCCCTTCTAAGCCAAGTTTTGCCTAACCTTTGGTTCTGCAGTCAACATTGAACCTATACATCAAATGTCTGTTTATCATTTACAGAGTTGATATAGAATTGAATTATTTTTATTTTAATCACAAGATTTTTAAGGTCCAGAAGAGAAGAAATGTTTATTTTTATTTGGCCAAGTTGGTGACAGCTGACTGTGTAGCTGGATGTGAATGAGCCTTTAGTTATAATGATAGATTTATAATTCTAAATATTTTTTCAAATTATACTATGAATGGAGAATTACAGACAAGATATTTCTCACATTCAGGTTTCAAAAGCATGGAATTAGCTCCTCTTGCCGCAGTATGCGTAAATGTTCTTCTGAGTGGGAAAGAACTGAAAGTAAATGGTCACATTCAGATTACACTTCCTCTTTCCACAAGTACTGTAAAACCAGGAGATGCTATACCTGCGTGGACATTCGATATGAAAACCGGTAAGTGGGCTGATTTATTTGTTATTCTACCTTTTAGCACACGTATGTAATTTGGGGCATATGACACTGTATGTCATGGAACAGTGATGGCACTAATATATGAGGTGGTGGTAAAGAGTCGTAAATTCCATTAGGGTTTCTGTATTGTTTTTTGATTGACTAGCTTGACTTGTTCAAAGGAATTTCCCTGTTTTCATTAGTTCAAAAAGCTTTGGTAAAATTCATTAGCATTCCTATTGAACACATTTTTCATGTAATAGATTTTTATTTTCATGGAAGGCTAAGCATTTAGGGAAGACACACTTCAGGCCATGTTAAATTTTAAGCCTGGTAGTTTTGTGAATGCCTTCTTAAAAGAAAACAAATCAGAACTGAAGATTTGGATGCTTTGTTTTCTAGAGTGTAGCTTTGACACTAAAATTGGAATAGACGTTACTTCCGTTAACAAAAGCAATTCAGAAAGTGAAATGAAGGGGAAATAAGAGTTATCGAAAGGGAACAACATAGTTCTTGCAGTATGCATGGGAAGGGAAGGCTGGGGATTAGGCATTCTAAACCTTTTGTCATCCCTTCATGTCTAATTTTAGTTAAGAGTGAGTAATGAGCTACATACACTTATCCTGTTTAGATGTCCTTTATTAGGTGTGTGTGCATTACTGCACTGATTGTCTTACACTGTACTTCGTACTTCTCATCACACTTTACTCGCATATTTCAAGACAAAGAGGTGTCTTACTCCTTATTAAGGCAAAACACTGTTGTTCAACTGTTGGAACTACAGGAGATGACAGCATCTCAGTGGTGTTTATATGTTCAAGAAAAAAAAACCCGATCATCTTAATGAAGAACAAAGAAAACATTTACTTGACTTAAAGTGCTAATAAAAAAATGACTAGGTTGCACTGGAACAGCCTGCCCGGGGAGGAGGTGGAGTCACCATCCCTGGAGGTATTTAAGAAACGTGTAGACGTGGCTCTTCAGGGCATGCTCTAGTGCCCAAGATAATTGGTTTGTGGGTGGGTGTGATGTGGTGGGGTGTTGTGTGTTGTGGGTTTTTTTGTTGTTGTTTGGTTTTTGTTTTTAAGGTTGGACTCTATGATCTCAGAGGTCCCTTCCAACCATGGTGATTCTGTGATTCTGTCTTCTGGGAGAAGAATAAATACAGTAGGTTTTGGTGTAGATTAGGTCTGTCTATACACCTAGAAGACTTCAGAGGGGTAACTGGTGGTAAGAGATAACATTATTCATCAAAGAAAGGGATTTTTAGGTAAAATACTACAAGGAGGTTTAATTTTTTGCTGCCACAGCCACTTTTGCCAGCTCCTGTGCTCATCTGTACCTATGCTGAGTTGTTTCAACTCACAAACCAGAAAAATTCAGTCAACAGTGTTACTAAACTAAAAAGCTGACAGAGCAGCTTGGTGCAGAGTTAGCTTAGCATATAAATGGGTGCAAGGTGTGTACGTGGGTCTACCTAACATGGCTACTTAGGGTAGAGCGTGAGGGTGGCGCAAGAGCAGGAGTGTGGCATGCTGACCCAGTACAAACAATTAAAACAGTTGTGTTTTTTCCTCTCAGATGGGGTATACTCTGATAGAGGCTCCATTATGGTAAATTGTTTGTGGTGGGTGCTCACTGACGTGTTGTGTTTGCACGGAGGCTTCACTCTTGCTTGCTGAAGAGAGGACAAGGAGGACTGTGGACAAGGAGAGAGATTTTTTTTGGACCCAACCCTACCTTCTAATTTTTCTTCCACTTTCTCATCTTTTCTCTGCAGTGAAAACTTGGAGCTGTATTCACTGTTCTGGATGTTTATTCTTAAATATGTTTGTTTTATTTTTACTTTTGATCTGAATGTGCAAAATTACTTTTTTGGTAAGGTGACTGAGTAATAGCAAGGCATTCCTCAGTCAAGGTTCTGGTGACTGAGGACAGCTGAACACCCCAGCTCTCCAGTAGGTGTTCGGGAGCATCCATCAGCAGCAGGAGGCCCTCACCTGAGCTGAAAGGAGAGCTACCACTGCACTGAAGGAGTGAGGCTCTGGCATCCAAGATGTTCCATGTGGGATGTCCCCAGCAAGATGCTGACACACACTTTTAAACTCTGAAGTCCTTGGGTCAATGGTAATCAGAGCTTCCATGTCAGTATTGATAGTGGTAAGGGAGGAGGTCTGTGTTTGATGTTGTGTACGCTGACCCATATGCACTAGGAAAAAAGATAGAAACTGCTTTCACGTATCTGCTCGTGCGGTGTTCCCTGGGGTTACTTGAAGTGGAATAGTACTGAGACTGTTCCTGGAAAGTGAGGTTTTGTAATTATATTCCAGCTGCTGTAAATGCAGAATAGTTGATGTATATTTAATGTGGCTCCTTTCTTACTAAATATTTTGCCTCATTAGTACCAAAAGTACTTTGTGGATTTTAATAGGATTACAAAAACAAAAACAAAGCTTGCATTGCAACGTTACATAAAGAACAATATGCTTCTGTTCAAATGGCAGTAAATCATAGAGAATATGTGCTTACTCACAAATCACATATTAATCTTTTTCTTTATGCATACTATTTATACTATTTTCTATGGAGTGTGTTGGGGGAGGTATAACTTACTGAAGAGGACAAAAAAGATGATACAGATTTGTTCAGTCAAGATAGAACTTCTAGAGACCCAGAATGTTTTTTGTCTTCTGTATGAGGTGGTTTGTGTTGGGTTTTTTTTATGTCTGTAAGTAGCCCACCCTCTATACTTGTAAAACAACGATTTTGTGGTATAGTGACATTTTGCCTCAGAATTTATGGGACAGAATTTGAGGATCTGTCATTGCCGCAATATGAGAGTTAGGGATGGAAGACTGCTAACGACTGGTCTTGCTCCTGAGTCTGGACAAAAGGTTTTCCAGGTGACTGAGAACTCATTTTTGAGGGCTCTGGGTGGCTGCTGCTGTTACTGCCCTCTGCCAGCCACCACCAGTACCAGGAGAAAGCTGCAAGTCTTACTGCCAAATTATATGTGTGTGTGCATATGTGGTATGTGTCAGTTCTCATCTTTACCTCTTCCTGGAAGATATTTCCTTTAGTTTTGCTGTAGGAAGGATCATGGAGGAAAATTGAAATTATAGGGCTTACATGAATTATATTTTTTGCATGCTTTGGTTATTGTTGTTTTAAAAAAGCTGGGGGTTCTCTCTCCTCCATATTTGCAATTTGGAAATGTAAGGTTGTTTATATGAGGTTGTTTTCTGTCCTTAGAATTTTACAGATGGCCCACAATAAATGTGTTCAAGTACATTAAGTATAATTCTGTCTCTTCTACTGCAGGCTTTATTAATGGCAGAAGCTGGCATACCATAATACCTGTCCTTTGCATTGCCAAACAGATGGTATGAAATCTGTGTCCTCCTATCAATAGACTTTCCTTGGGCTAACAGAACTGTTACTGCCTTGGGGCAGGGAGGAAAGAAACATTCAAGACAAACTTTTTTTTAATCCTAATGTAGTTTATTAGATGAAAATGCTTTCTTACGAAGTGCTGCTAGCTAACATTAAACTTGTGTTCATATGTTTAAATTACCCATTCTTTGATTATTTTTTTTTATCTTAGCTTTCATATATGCTTACGCTCATATAATAATTTTTCAGATTATGTGTATGTATATCTATGGAAAATGTTTAATACAAAATGAATTAAATTAATTTAGGTAGGTAGTGTTGATGCTTTGTTTCAGAGTAAATGTCCACACAGGGATATTTGCAGGGAAATTGTCAAGAGAGAAAGTTTGCAAGTTTAGCTAAAGCTGTGTAATAAATAGTATATAGGTCAGAAGTTTCAGTTTTTCTTGTGACCTTGTGTATTTTTGGTAATGGCTTAATTGCTAATGGCTTGAGATACAGAGGAATCCTGCAGGGGATGAGCAAAAGGGAAAAAAGGAAGACCTGGGGAACTACAGGCTTGTCAGGCTCATCTCTGTGCCTGGCAAGATTGTGGAGCAGATCCTCCTGGAATCTCTGCTATGGCACATGGAAAATAAGGAGATGGTTGGTGACAGCCAACATGGCTTCACCAAGGGCAAGTCATGCCTGACAAATTTGGTGACTTTTTGTGGTGTTGCTACAGCACTGGTAGATAAGGGGAGAGCACCAGATGACATCTACATGGACTTAATGCAAAGTGTTTGACATTGTCCCGCGTGACATCCTGGTCTCTAAATTGGAAAGGCATGGCTTTGATGGATAGACCACTTGGTGGATAAGGAACTGGCTGGATGGCTGCACTCAAAGGGTTGCAGTCAATAGCTCAATGTCCCAGTGGAAACCAGTGATGAGTGGTGTTCCTCAGGGGTCAGTACCGGGACTAGTGCTGTTTAACATCTTTGTCGGAGACGTGGACAGTGGGATTCTCAGCAAGTTTGAAGGTCCCTTCCAACCTAAATCATTCTATAGTTCTGATATTTTGTCCTTATTTTTCAGGTGCTTGGGTAAGCCCTGGACTAGGAGTGGTAAAGGAAGCAGATGGTCAATTAGTATGGACATACACTGCTCAACACTTAGGCTACTGGATAGCAGCTCCACTGCCTGGAACAAGAGGTATTGCAACAACTGGCAAGGAAATCACTGAGTAACCCAAGTAACAATGTATCATAACGTTGTCTGATTGCATTATTTAACAATAGAAAGGGAAAAATGACATGCAATTTCAAAAGTTACCCAACTGTTGTTTGAATCCTGATGGTTTGCCTTTGTGCATACAAACATTTCCTAGAGCTTCAAATGCTATAAGGGGAAAAGTCCAGACTATATTTCAACTGACATGTTTATACTTTCACCATCTTTTGGAGGAAGTCTGCAAGGGAACTGTGACTGTGGAGATTTAAAAATTAGTGGGACTGTACCCTTTACTGTTGAGGATCATGTGTGACAGGAGGAAATAGAAAAAAATTAGTCTTGGGTAAGATGGTCCCAGTGGATTCTGTTTTCTGTAGATTTTTTGCATGTTTTGCAAATTCATACAAAGGGATTCTTATTGGAGAAATATGTCAAAATTTAAAAACAGATAAAGCACTTTGTGACAGAAGCACTAAATAGAAATTGTAGATCGTGTTTCTAAGTAAGTTTGGACAACTAGTACTTTGACTGTAATTGAGTGGATGTTTTGGTAATGCTTTAGTATTCAAGATGAACCTTTGAAGATCTGTTGTTTTGTAACCACTGTTTGTGTATTTTCTAGTTTGCTGAAACAGCAGGGTGAAATGGGAGGGATGAATGTACTGCCATAGAAACACAAAATCACTGGAAAAGTACAGTTTAATTTATTAGCTACAGCTCTGCATATCAAGCAGAATTATTTGGTTGTGAGAACTAATTCTTGTCTGCTTTTGTTTGACAATCTAGAATCCATAATTAGTGCGGTTTCCAAGGACATAACAGCCTATCACACAGTGTTCCTTACAGCCATACTGGGAGGTACTGTTGTCATTATCATTGGATTTTTTGCTGTTCTTCTTTGTTACTGCAGGTAAGCAAAAACAGAGGCTCTAATATGCTCTGCATGAAAGGAATTTAAGGTTAATGAAACAGCCTTGAAGTTGAGACTTGTTTCCTGAGCTAAACTACAATGTTTAGCCTAATATTTATTCAAAAATTATAGTTATTACCAAAATTGATTTTAAGTTAGTGACATCACATTACACTATAACTGTAACCAAACTCTAATCTTCAGCTCTGGTAGTCAGCAGTCTAGTATTTGTTAGTATGCTCTACAGTCACCTTGCATCTCTTTTGCATAGGGATAAATGTGGTCGGACACAAAAGAAGGAAAAAAATACAACTAAGCTGGAGGTCATCAAAAAAGACCAGACGACATCAACAACTCACATAAACCACATCAATGCTGTCAAAGGATCTCTAAAGTTGGAGGATAAGTCGCAGTTATATACACCGAAGATTTCTTCCTACAGCCCTCAAAGAAGGATGTCCATAGACACAGAAGATGGAAAATCACGAGACAATTTTAAAATCTACACAGAGGATGTTTCCTATCAGTCATCTTGTCAAACTGGTCAGTCAAGAAATTCAGCACATTCATTGGAGCCAAATGCTGTAGTTAGGCATTTACAGCAGCATAAGCATAGTAACAGTACTGTTTCCCAGGCTTCTAGGGACATTCAAGACCAAAACAGATACCTTTCACTGAAGGAGGAGATATATGGGCTTTCCCATATCCCAGAACATCTAATGCATATTTACAATCAACCTATTGCTATTCTTCAAACCTCTGACCTTTTCCACTCCCCGGAACAACTGCATCCTGCTAAATCAGCAACTTTGCCAAGAAAAGGGCAGTTAGTTTATAGCCCCATGATGGAACCCATGAATCGTGACAGTTACATACAAACATTGCCGAAAATGCCGGTGCACTCTCATCCACAGCCTTCTGTCTGCAGAGATGAAAACAGCACGTTAGATAGTGAAGAGGGCTTACCTTCTCAGTCGTCCAACTGGGGCCGGTACACTAATAGCTTACTGGAGTCTATCTCTGTTCCTGGGACACTGAATGAAGCAGTTGTGATGACTCCATTTTCATCTGAACTTCAAGGTATTTCAGAACAAACATTATTGGAACTCTCTAAAGGAAAACCATCTCCACACCCTCGAGCGTGGTTTGTGTCCCTGGATGGAAAGCCAATCGCTCAGGTGAGGCATTCTTTCATAGATCTGAAAAAGGGCAGGAAAACAGAGAGTAATGATACCAGTCTGGACTCTGGTGTGGACATGAATGAGCATCATCCTAGTAGGAAACTGGAGAGAGAGAAAACTTTCATAAAAAATATGCCACATTCTAAGATCCTTTACTTGGAAGATCTGGATTTGAGTAGCAGTGAAAGTGGAACCACTGTTTGCACTCCAGAGGACCAGGCTGTGAGGCACATTCTGGATGGAGGAAATGGGCCAGCTGTAGAACAGCATGATGAAGAAGGTGTAAGAAGAAAAACTGTATCAGGAAGTCATGAATCTGGTATTCCTTCTGCTAAAAAAAGGGATAGACCGTCTATCACAAAAAGAGATAGCAAAACCAACATCTGGAAGAAAAGAGAGGAGAGGCCACTTATTCCTATAAATTGAAACACAATGTTGCTTTGTGTTGTTGCTCTCCCTGCTGGTTATTGACCTCTTGGCTGCTTCTGTAATTCTGCCGTGTTGGATTTACAAGGGAAATGTTGTTTTCTAGTATCAACAAAAGTTGTGTTTTTTTTAATATACAGATTGAGTTACTAAACATCAACTGGGGAATTGATATTCAATGTGAATTGAAAATAGGGAAATACTACTATTAAAATTTTCCAGTTCCCAATTTTACTGGCAGTATAGGGAAGGCCCACATTTTAATTAGCCTGTCATTCTTGGACACATCTCTGGGAATGCATGGTGAGAAATGTAGGTACATGCTTTAATTTTTTCGTACTTATTGTTAATACATTGGTAGACTAGGTAAAGCCATTCCTCAGCCTTGTTCCTAATCAATGTGACCATCTGTACAGTATTTTATATGTGAACTTTTCTAGGGATCTGTTACTGCTTTTTTGTATAAGGTGAAACGTTTCATCAGTTCGTTCCACGTCACCAGCAGATGAGCTCTGCTGGGTTTATCAGCGGAGCTCTATAGCGTTACTGCCCTCCCTGTGTGCACATCCACGTGCAAAAGGTGGTGTTCCATATAGCAGTGGCAGCAGGGGGAGGTGTACAAGCTCTGTGGCCACTGCAGTTCATGGTCCTTGCTGTCTTAAGATGTTGCCAATCTGCTTTGTTACCAACTGTGAATGTTGAGGGTTGTCACCCGCTCTGAAGCGTCCACATCCAGCAGAAAAGGACTGGTTCGGAGCTGCTGCTACTACTGATCCCCGTGTCTCGTTTTGGCTTCATTGTCAGTTAAAATCTTCTCTTCTGCATGCTGCTGGGCCAGTTGAGCTCCACAACATAGTCTTGAATCTTAGTTAGTTTGGCCCATAATGAAAAAGCGTTTAAGTTTAGACAAATTATGCCTTTGAAATAGTTTCCTTTAGCAGGAAAGTTCGACACTGTTGCTTTTTGTTTTGTGTTTTAAAAAAACGGAAGATCATTGGAGGTTTATGTGCCTACATTTTGCTAGCCTGAGCTGCTTTTGTCTAGGTTGTGCATCGCAGAGGGGGTTAAACAGGCTTTAAAAGTTGGGGGTTTTTTATGAGCATGAGAGAGCAGATCGCAAAATTTGGTCTATAATGTAATATAAATACTACTTATGACTCATCTTAGAGTTAAATTTACCAAAAGTCATGAATGCATGAAATGTAACTAAGATATGTATAGAGGAAGGAGAAGGCCATCAGAATATTCTTTTATTTTTTATGTTCATCTTGTCTAAGTGATCGTTTCAGCTTTGGCTAACAGAAAAGTAGATGCATCCCTTAATGTGCTTCACATAGTACATAGAATGTCTTTCTGTGGCTTTTAAGCTGTTTCCCTGATGAAGTAAGTTCCAGCATTTTGGCTTTGGCAGTTGGATTATAAATCATCCAAAAAAAGCTTTATAAATATTTCCCTTAGAGCTTGGTTAAGGTTCTATACGAAGACCCAAACATATAATACCTATATCTAAATTGTGGGGTGAGGTGCAGTCAGTGGTCTGCCCTGTAGTACACTCAAGATTTGTAGGAGATATCCTACGCAGCTGAGCTTCTTCTGGGAATACTTACTCAGGAAATATTACTGTGAAATGTCTGTTGTTTTGGGATCGTCAGTTTTCTGGTCCCGTTTCAAGAAGAACGTGCAAGGTAACCAGAATGGTACTAGCAATACATTAATCCAACTTTCTGGTGTGCAGTTGCTTCATGAACAAAATATGATGTTCCTACTGAGTTCACAAGTAAGTTTAAGATGGGTGCGCAAATAAGTCTGTAATTTTAATTGGCTGAAAGAATTTGACTTAATTATACAAATCATCTATTTCAGAGGTGAAGATGGTGCTGTGGTTTAGCCCCAGCTGGCAACTAAGTACCATGCTGCTGCTCCCTTACTCCTTCCTCCTGTGGTGGGAGGGGGAGGAGAATCAGAGAGAAAGAGGTAAAACTTGTGCGTTGGGATAAGGGCAGTTTAATACAACAGTGCTAACTGTTGAAGCCAGTTCTAGTTCCATCACCACTGCACTTTGCTTGGCTTCATCAAAGTTCACCCTTCATTCATTTGGGTGATTCTTGCTGTAATACCATTCATACAGCATATGGCAACTGTAGTAGTCATGACATAAAGTGGCAGGGTTATTTAGCAATTAACATCATACAATTTGATTTTTTTGGCTGTTTTCACCCAAAATCAAATCCCCATGAGGTACGTATTGGACTTCCCCATCCTTCTGCATCACCTGCCAACTGCACTCAGGTGCTTGAGCAAAAGCAATCCCACAGATGGGTTTGCCTTTGCCCAAGGCAGGACTAACCCAGGCTGTCTTCCTTAACATATTCTTCATGTGCACCTTGGGAACTTTATTTCCTTCTACAGTACGTGGAAGTTTTGACTGGGCAGGGCCAGCTCCATTGGTTAACCCCTGGTGTTAATTGACCAGGTGGCTTTGACTAAATGTGTATCCCAATGATTGAAGGTCCCACAGCTTGTTACTCTCAGGGTAGTTTTTAACAGGCCATTGTATCGTTTGATTTTCCTGGAGGCTGGTGCATGACAGGGGATGTGATGTACCCACTCAAAGCCATGCTCTTGGAGTTTTTTCCGAAAATGAGTCCCATTATCTGACTGGATTCTTTCTGGGGTGCCATGTTGCCATAAAACTTGTTTTTCAAGGCCCAGGATAGTGTTCTGGGTGGTGGCTTGGGGCACAGGGCATGTGTTGTGACCAGGCTGCAAATATTAGTGGAAAGTTTCAATTGCTTAGTTGGAATTAAGGCACAAATGAGGCCAGATGTTGAAAACTCACCAAACCAATTTCTTCAACAACAATTTAAGTGAAGAAAGGAAAGGGAGAGGAAAGTGCAAACAGATAGTCATGACCCATGGATCCAGCGATGTCTCGTTGGTCCTTTTTAGCCACGGTAATCGTAGGTGGTAGGAGCTCCGAGCTCTCCTCTTAGTCTCTTTAGCCATCTTGTATGCTTTTGGATTTCCATCATTTGCATGTGAAGTGTGGTAGGGCTGTTCTAGAAGGTGGTTATTTGCACATGAAGTGCAGTGGGGAGGTTCTAAAGGTGTGGTTAAGCAGCAGCATGGGCAGTAAAGGCTAGGGAGTCACACAGGAGTCTTTCCACCCCTGTCTCGCGGTGTCTGTTACTTAGTCTTTCAGCTTGTGCAGGCACCCTCTATAGCAAAATCTCCCAAAACAGTGACACGGAAGTCAGCGCAGTCCCCACCTATGCAGCACTGAGAACTGACCTTCTGTTCCATGTGTTTCTGGTAGATGGTTTCTTGTGGTTGTGACAGTTCCTTGAGCAAACAGCGTACAAGCAGGGTTTGAGCCAGAGTTCCAGTTTATAGTCCCACAGTATTTTCCTTTCAAACATTCTGTCACTTTATCAGGGTCCTGAAGTTGTTTGAGAATGAAGTTCCAGACCATTGGGGGTGAGTAGCTCTCTAGATACCTGCCCATATTCTCCCATGTGCCATTCCAGCTATGACCCTGCTTTTGCAGAGCCTCAGTCATACTCCTAAATTGCTTGGTAACCTTAAACAATTTTAAGACCAGAAACACATTCAGGAGACATAGAAATAGGAGCCTGCTGGTTTCAACCGCCTAAGGTTATTCAAAATTCTCAAGAGCTATTGTAATTAGCCTGGAGCAGAAGGGGAAGATGAAGGAAGGAGTCTCCCTGACAGATTGGTGCTAGGAGAAAAGGTAAAAAGTGTAATTATTGATAGTTTCCACTAGATGGCTCCCGAAGAACAAAGACGGTTGCAATTGTGACTACAAATACAATATTGGTCTTGTGATCAATGGGTATATTGTAGCATATGGCAGTGCTACTCCATACAGCAAAGCCATAACCTTGATCCAGCTCCCACAGGCAAGAAACAGCACATAAATACTAGTAAGCAGTCCATACAGCAAGTAAGTTACTGCCTCACACAACTCTGAGAACAGATAAAGCAACATGACCAGTGACAAACTAACCCAATGAATGCTTATAAAAAACACCAAAAAATTGTTTTAACATGTTCTGGACAGATCTGTCATTATCACAACCCTTCGAGCCCCATGTTGGGTGCCAAAAAGGACTGTTGTGGTTTAGCCCCAGCCAGCAACTAAGTACCCCCCGTCTGCTTGCTCACCAACCCCCCTTGCAGGGGAGGTAGGGGGATTGGAAAGGGAGAGGTAAAACTTGTGGGTTGGGATAAAGACAGTTTAAGGCAACAACAGAGGAAAAGGAAAAATGATAACAGTAATACGGATAGAAGAATAAACAAAGCAAGTGATAGGCAGTGTAATTTCATATGGTATGGGATATCCCTTTGGCAAGTTTCAGTCAGCTGTTGTGGCTCTGCACCCTCTCAGGTTCTCCTGAAAATTAACTCTGTCCCAGCTGAAACCAGCATAAATGGCTTGTCACAGTAGCATGCCTTTGGTACTCTTCTTAGGTAACTGTAATTCAGTTATCCTGTACCAAATACATTTTCACAATACTTTTAATTCTATATTCAGTTCCACTGGATTATGTATGACTGACTCTGTAGCACAAGATGCTGATATTTTCATCCTTTGCATTGCTATATATATTAGAAGGAATCCATTTATGTATTTTGAGTGTTTCTTCTGAAAGTTGCTTTGACTTTTGAGGTTCAACATTGCCCTGCTTTTAGAGTTGTCTCAGTTCTGATGGCTCCCTTTTCAGCAAGAGAATATATACATGCTGTTGAACATAGCAGAAAATCCCTGACAAGGTAATGGCTTTCAGTTTTTAATAGTAAATTGATATGTCTCTACTTGAAATTTTGTTTGCCTATAGTAACTTAAATATATTGCAGATTTTTTTAATGCATTTTTTTCATTGTGTATATCAAAAAGACCTATTCCTCCACATTACTTGTCTCATTAAAAAATACAGACTACCTTAAGTGGCTTTATTCATATGAGCTCAAGGGAACGAAGTTTTGCACTCTTGGATTTTAAAAACCCTCTAGAACTCCAAAATTATTAGAATTGTATTTCATATTTATATTCAGTGTTTGCAGAATATGTTATCTGAGTCTTTATGTTCCAGCTGCATGTTGGAATTGATGCATGGGAAACCTGCATTGCCTGTTAGTGACTGGAATTCTTTTTGGTTTTAGATGATTAAAAAATGAGTTTGGCTGCACCGAGTTCTAAGAATTTTAATTCCAGAGTTAGTCATACATGATATGTAACACGTGGAAAAGATAAAATTTTATCATGAAAATTGTCTTTGTGGTCAAACTAATGCTTTTCTATATTTTTATATATGATTTCAACACATGAATTTATAGGACTCAAAGAATTTATTTTTTAAGATATTTTTTTTCCTGTTGGCTCAGTGTTGCAGCACTAAGAGTGCTGAAATGCTAGGGTTAAAATGAGGTCTACAGACAAAGTAGGAAGGATTTGCAGCACATTGCTCTCGGAAGGGCCAGGGAAACATTCAGGGGTTTTGACTTCTTTGAATCTGGAGGTTGATTACCTTGAGAGTAAGTGGGCCGTGCCTGATGCACATTGGAAGTGAGCCCCTTCTAGGGAGAGGGGAAGGAGTGGGAAAAGTTGAAAGGATATCGCTTCTTTCTGATGCTTGTTTCCCAACTGATGTATTTTTGCTTCAGTGGAATCAATTATTTTTGAAAAACACAAATGTTTGCAAACATTTGTGTCTCTGTTTTTCACAAGATGCTTCTTAAGCTGTCACGTTTTGCAAAAACCCCATATACATGTATGTACAGTTTTAAATGAGAGGTGTTAGGTAGATACAGAACAGTCAACACCAAATTTTGTCATATATTTAAGGTGAAAGGCAGTTAAACTTCAGGACAGTTTCTCCGGCTTGCCTGCAATACATGATGTTGAGTTTCTTCTTGCAGAAGAGTATACCAGTTCCAGGTCTTACCTGGTTTTGATAAGGTGGTTAATGGAGTTGGCCAAGGCTTTTTCTGGTGATCACAGATTAATTTATGTGGCTTACATCAATGTTTTGATGTATCATAAATTAAGGGAAGTGCTCAGGCTAAAAAGTATGCAGCTGTATGCACATTAATCTAGATATGTTACCCAGAATAAGCTAATTGGCAGTAATTTTCAGATTGTAACCAAATGTCACATATTATAGAAATTTACAAAAAAAAAAAGAGGAGGAGGGATCACTTAAAAATTCCATTTGATTAACAGGAAAAATCTTTATAGTAGTCAGAAAATTAAGGAACTCTAGTGTCTTACAAACCTGAAAGGGAAACAGATTTGATGACTAGGAACATTATTTCCCAGTGTAGAACTATAGAGCTGATGCGCAAAAAATAATTGGGGATGTAAGAATGTTTTGTTGTCTCCTTTGTTTTTATGCAGCAATTTGTACCAAAGAGGGTGAAATGAATGGGCACCAGACTGAACTCTTCTCGTTCGTTAAAAAGTGAAACAGGTTAACAATATTACTTATCTAACACTGTGCAAATTAAAAGGCAGTACCCTACATCCGTTGTCTAGTACTGCATATTAGGAAAATCTGAAGATAAATTAGCCTGCTGAAGTGCCTTTCTCTTTCATCAGACTTATTTTATCAGTGGGACACCTGACTATCTGAAAAGCACATTAGGGTATTTTTTTCTGTTAGCCAAAAAACCCTCAATTCATACTTACGATTATGTAGCTTTTATAATATTTTAAAAGGCAGATCTAGTGTTTTTTATGTTGGAATACTGACTCCTGCATGTTGATGATGATGGTAACTGTTGTAAACCCTGGGGTTTTTATATTATTTTTTTTTAAAGAAATAAAATATATCTTTAGCAATCTCAACAGTAGTATCTTTTAAAACTGCACATACGGAATCTGGTTCAGCTTCATAAGTCAAGAGTAAGCGTCTTGAAGTCACTGGATTTACAGGTATGAAACTAGGATTTTAACTTCAAAAATGAAATTAATATATGTTTATATATAAAAACTATTATAATGATAGAAATCCTTTTTTCAGCTGCTAATCTTCCTTGCCAGTAGAAGCAGAAAGTGTATGGACATAAGTACTTAAGTCTTATTTTCTAAAACCAATTTTTATCTCAATTTGGAGCCGAACCTGCATTGTTTATATAACCCAGTTTCTGGTTTTTAAATTATTTTTTTTAATTCAGTGGAATTATGCAAAATACTGTGCTGTGCCTACAGAGTTAAAAATGAACATTCTTTTGTAGTAGTTTGCACTAATTTGTGCCATGCTTCTAGTAGTAGGCAGGTATATTTGTGTTAAAGAATTTATATGAAAGGTGGTTTAAATGACTTTAATCTGAGCTTCATTTTCTTATAAAAACAGTATTCAGTGTGTTCTGATGACCAAAAATAACGGCTTTGGCAGTTCTGTTTGTGGTTTTTTGTTTTGTTTTTGTTTTTAAAGACTGGCAGGGGAAAACTGTGTCATTATTTTTAGTATTAGCACCCTCAGCTTGAAAACTATTTTACCAAATGATTTCTTTTTTCGCTCAGTTTAAGATTTACTGAAGATTCCTTTATTCCTCCTCCCCAAAATGTACTGGTACTTTATTCCCCAGTTTACTGATTGAATTCCTTTGGAGCATTTGTTGCGCTTCAGTCCGTGTTAGAACAGTGATATTTTTACATCTTGGTATTATGTAGAAAGGCACTTCTTAGTGCTCATTAAAGCATGGAGTTCATGAAAACCCTGGCTCCAAGATTCTGAAGCAAAGGCGGACTGATAGCACTGATTGTGCCCACCATCTTGCACATTGGAGCCTTATATTCAAGGAACACTTCATTACCTTGGAAGTCATGTTCAAAAACACTCTAGTATGGGTACTGTTCATGTAAAACATTCTTGATAATTCAGCATCCTGGTTTTAAGTATTTCTACCTTTTTATAATTTGTTAGAGGTGTCTTTTCATCTCTGTATTTACTACAGTATCAGTGTATCTGTTGCTGAAAATGTAACTAAAATTTGTAAAATGTTATAGCTTATGCAATATAATAAAAGTTTTAAAAAGTCATCAGTGCCTTAACTTTTATTTAAAGGTCTCTTATGTTTTTTTGGAACATACCTCTCTCACTCAACATCTTTTTTTCTACATATCACTAAAAATGTGTATTTCTGTCATCACCATAATTGTAATTCCAAAAGAATGTTACTGTCCTTAAGTTTACCAATTGTAATTCTCTTTTCATTTTCTACTGAACACATCTATATTCACATTACATCTGATTCCTGTAGGGAATCGCAGGTAGGGTTATTCCATGTGTAAATGGATTTTGTTGCAATTGGAAATGGGAACCTAGAGAAGAATATTGTTTCAGGTTTTGTTCTTATGCCTAATCTCTCTTTCTCCAGTCTTTTATTTAGAGACTTTCTGTGGCTCCAAGAACAAATAAAATATTATTTCTCTGTCTGCACAGTGCAGAGACAGAGGCATCAATTCCAGCTACAAATAAGCTCAAAGTACTTAAATCCAGGTAGAAGAACATGACAATGTTCTAATATAGAATAGCTTAAGCTAAACTTCAGGGTGGAATGTCTATTCTTATTCGTATCTAAAAAGTAGTATTTTTCAGGCCTTTTCTAAGCTTCACCAAAACCACACTTCAGTATTTTCACCGTTGTTCAGAAACCCTGCAATACTATAGGCAGACACACTGCAAAGATTTTGCTATGGGGAGCACTTGCATTTGTTGTATGATCACTCCTTTAATGTTCTGAGAAGCTACAGTCTTCTAGTAAACTATTGGTTTTCTTCATACTCTCACAGAATAGCGTTTTTATTTTTAACCTTCCTGAGAAGTCATTTATTTTTATTATTTCTTTAAAACTATTGCAAATCTGTTAGATACTTTACAGTAGATGGAGTGAACTTTCTCTCTACAGGAAGCTAAGGAAATGTCAGGAGGAATTTTATTTCCAACTCAAAAAAAAAAAAAGAAGAGTATTTTCTGTCATTTCACTTCCTTGTAAAAATGAGGTATCTGTCATAAGCTGATCTATAAATGCAAATAATTCTATCAAAATTGAAATTCAACTTGTTCTATGTTATCATAGAAGACACAAAATCCAAAGTATACAAATTACTCATTTAAATGAAAGTTGAAGTATGTGTGAATAAATGATATTGTTTTGTTTGTTCTAAGTTGTTAGACATGCTATCAAATTTTGATTTCTATTAAAACATAAGGAAAGATAACTGGGAAAAGTCAAGTTGGCTTGCTTCATCTTTTTCATTTTGCATTCATTCTTTATCTGGCTAAGCTTCAACAAAATGTTTCAATTTTTCTTACAGTCTCAGAATAAAGCTTTAAAAATAGCAGGTTCTTATTGCACATATTTTTTTTTTCTTCTGTTTAATTAACAGCTGGCAACTGGGTTAAAAGATAAGTATTTCTCATTCAATCAGGCTTTATGTTTACATTTATTGCAGGTGTTGAGGTTTAAATCTTCATTACACTTAGTGGGAATCTAGACCTTAAAGAAAACTAAAATTGGCTGAGTTGTTCCTGTATACTATTTGGAGGCTTAGCTCCTCTTCTGAGCATTAACTATCAGGAAACCATAGCAGATCTCACAGGATGTATCTGATGCTATAAATAGGTCCTTTTCCATCTTGCTTTTACTATTGCACATTTGAAAATAGCACACTTGATAGCTTCATTGCTGAAAGAAATTTTAAAATGCGTGCCTAGGCCCCTCTGGATGGCATCCCTTCCCTCCAGTGGGTCGGCCACTTCACACAGCTTGGCGTCGCTGGAAAACTTGCTGAGGGTACACTCAGTCCCACTGTGCATGCCATCCACAAAGATGTTAAACGGCACTGGTTCCAGTACTGACCCCTGAGGAATGTCACTGGTCTCCACTTGGACATTGAGCCATTGACCACAGCTCTGAGTGGGACCATCCAGTCTATTCTTTATCCACTGAGTGGTCTCCATCTGTCAAATTGGTGTCTCTCCAGTTCAGATACAAGGATGGTGTGCGAGACAGTGTCAAATGCTTTGCACAAGTTCAGGTAGATGATGTCAGTTGCTCTCCCTTTATCCACCAATGCTTTCTCTATATGCTGGGTGACCATGTCTCCTGTTTCCTCCCAGAGAGGACCCACATTTTCCTGAGTCTTTATCTTATCACCGACATAACCTATAGCAGCTTTTTTGATGCCCTTAACATCCTTAGCCAAATTTAATTCTATCACGGCTTTAGCATTCCTAACCTGATCCCTGGCTGCTTGAACAAATTCTCTGTATTCCTCTCAGGCTACCTGTGCTTGCTTCCAACCCTCTGTAGGCTTCCTTTTTCTTTTTGAGATTGTCCAGGAGCAACTTGTTCATCCATGCAGGCCTCCTTGGTAGTCCCTTGGTAACATCCCGGGTAAGAGCACACCTCTCCAGAGAGTACATCAGGTTGGCAAATGGGTGTCCTCAGACCTTTCAGAAGGGAATTGCCTACTACTGTCTACCTATTACCTACTACCCATAGCTTTTTCGTAATTGTGCTGGTTGTTACGAGAGGAGCTGATGAGGTTGCACTACTCAACTCCAGCACCTCTCCTGGTGTAGTGGGCCTTTCCTCTTCACTCTGCACAGCTGTGAAGAGGCTCTGTAAATGCACTTCAGGCTTTGGGGGGAAGTCTCTTCTGCTGGTCTTTGTCTTCATAAGCTTCCATTCTCCCGTGTTATGAGCCTTTCTCCCTTCTGTGTGTGGGAGATTTTGGCTATTTGGCCATGGGTTGTTAATCCACTATAGACTGCTTGGAACCAGCTATCTAGCTCCTTGGCATTCAGGGAGGCTGACACACAGCCTCCTTACCACTTCCTTCAGCTCTGCCACCTGCTGCAGGAGGTCCTCCACCTCAGCATGCCTTTTGCAGGCAAACCTGCTGCTTCTCTGCCCCAGAAGAAAGGTGGAGGCATCTCCTGCAGCCTGAGGTCTGCACTGCAGCTTCTCCCTTCAGCAGTTCCAACCACTGCTGGGGCAGATGGTGGAGACCCAGGAGCCAGAGCTGCAGCCTTTGCTTTCAGACAAGGGGCCGCCATTCTGCCCTGAGGGTCGGGGAGGATGAGTGCCCCTGACCAGTGCAGACGGTCAGGGCACGGTGCCCAGTGCTCGACCAGTGGAATGCTCCTCCTTGGAAGAGGTGCCCTTCCTGCATGAAACTGTTGAGTCCTACTCCCCAGGCTGCTTTTTATAGGTGTGGGGGGTGTTACAGTTGCTCTGGCACTGCATCAGCGAAGAAAAACTTCAAAAAAGTTCACCTCATCAGTGAAGAGAAGCTGCTGCTCAGGTAAGCTAAGCTTGGCTTAAATGAATCTGGAAAGGTTTGTCTTCTGTGAACTTGCTTAAAGATGTTGGCACAAACTAGCAAAGGTGAACTTCATAAGTTGGCTGGTATGTAAAAACATCCAGGTAAAGTTATTTAGTTGTTAGTTTAACTTTGCAATTTAAATGGAGTAGCCTTTTTAAGAGTCTTACACGGCCTTACAGAGAAAGCATTAGTTGTGTGATTAGATGAGAGGAGGTAATATTACTGTGGTAAATTCACTTCAATAAATTTAAATTTATTTCAAAAAATGAATTTAAATCAAAGGTGTAGTCCCACTCATAGTGTTCCTTGTATTCCTGTCACTTATAGGGCTTTATTCAGTGATTTATTCAGTGACCTTTATTCAGTGATTTATTCAGTGACCTGGTTCTACTCACTGGACTGCCAAAAAAACCTCGCCTAGCCAAAAATAGTCATGTTCAGTTGATTTTAGTGGATTTTGATTCTGCCTATCGAACCCCAAGACAAGTAATACATCTCTAACAGCGACGGGAGAGTGGGACAACTCCTGTGGCAGCAGGAAACGACTTCAGCACCAGGGCAACCGTTGGTGGCTGCGTTTGGGGTTGCCATGGCAACGACACGGCCGCCATTTTGTTAAGCCCCTCAGCGGGCGCTTTCCCCCCTCGCAGGCTCAAGTCGGCGGACTCCCCCCGCCTCAGCGGCCGGGCCCAGCCCACCGGGGAGGGAAGCCGCCGCCCCCCAAGCTGTGGTCGGTTTCTGTGCCCAACCGGGACCGCCGTTGCTCTCCCCGGGGCCCTGCAGCCTGTGGCGGTGGTGGCATCATAAAGGTGCTCGGTGTCTCGGTGCAAGGCGGGGATTTTTGCTGTCCCTCAGCGGCAGGATCTTTCCAGAAAACGGGGGGTCACCGCCTCACCCGGTTTTGTTCTCTTCCCTCGCTACTCCACAGCTCTTCCTCTTTTTTTTTTTTTTTTTTTTTTTTTTTTTTTAAAGGCACTTGAAATATCTGTGGTTTATTACGTGCTTTTTGTAAGCCAAGCCAGTTGTGAAAGCATTTACTAGAAAAGGTGGGAGGGTTTCTGTTTTGTGGCGCAGTCGCTAGGGGGAGCTGCTGCCCTCCCTATAGTCTGTAAAACCGTGTTTATTTTCACTTTACCTTAAATATTTTGTGTCACTTCTTCAAACAGTTGATAGTTACAAAGTCTTTTGATAACATCAAAGCGATCCGTGTAATTTTGACGGGAATATGAACAGGTGTCATGCGGTAACGGGGGTCTGACTTCCCTTTCTGTTTTTTTTAAAGGTATAGGAAAGTCTTTTTGTCCTGTTCGAGCCTTCTCCGAAATGCCTTTTAATTTGAGAAGTGACTAAGCCCTGCTGGGAAGGGGCAGAGCTGCCAGAAAGGCAGGAAGAATCAGCAGTGGGTCCCCGGGGATGCTGGAGGAGTTGAGGTGAGGCCATGGGAAGGCAGCAGGAGTCGGGGAGTTTACAGCAAAAATGGGGGCACGACTCTTTATCAGGGAGTGTAGCGATAGGATGAGGGGTAACAGTTTTAAACTGAGAGAGAGTATGTTTAGATTAGATATAGGAAAGAAGTTATTTACTTATTTGGGGTGGTGAGACACTGGAACAGGTTACCCAGAGAAGCTGTGGATGCCCCATCCCTGGAGGTGTTCAAGGCCAGGCTGGATGGGACTTTGAGCAACCTGGTCTGGTGGGAGGTGCCC